CACAATCAACCTATCGAACACAGTTGTGTTTAGACAACTTCGAATAGACAGTTATATCGTAGATTTATTTTCTATGAAAATATATACTTCAAAACAAATAATGATCTATAACTTATTCACATATTATTACATCCATTTCAGCAGATTAAAGTACATTTCTTTGTTTGTGTGAATAGCATCAGCAATTAAATTTCAGTTGGTTAGAAAATTTGAGATACAACGTTTTTCAGTAAACAACTGTACTCAAAATAATCTCATATGTTAGCATATGAAATTTGAATAAAAGGCTTATAGATTTTTTGGGTACACAGTTTTTAATGAGAATTTCAATACTAATTTCAGATAATATGTTTATCAGTTTCTTATGATGAAGCATGAAATGATAGATTTCACAAATCTTATGCTGATTTTTCAAAGCAAATCTCATACAACATTGAACCGACTAAATTTCCAGTGTTTCATTTGAATGCAGACTCAACGAAAATAAATTATTTTCCATCAAACGTTCAAATGAAAAATATTATTTTTCATCAAATTAAGGCTTGGTACTTGTAAATCAGAAAGAGAGTATTCTCAAGAAGATAGGTTCGTAATTATCGCTGCAAGAATTGAAGCAACTGTCTACGGCATGCCTAAATCTTTGATAATAGTAGTCGTTTTCTAGTTAAATACCTGAATAAGTCACAGATATAAAGTTGGTGGAATTTTAATTACCCTAATCACTAGCTATCAAAATACATCTGACCTTAAATCTGTAATATACTTTTATCACTTTTGAAATCTTGTTTCGTTGTTAAGACTTTTTTTCAGTGAGGCAAGTTTCAATGAACGTAGTATTCCTTGCAGAATGAATGCTGGTTTACTTGACGTTGCTGATTATTTTCGATGGATCTGAGAGATATTTTTAAAACATTTAATAACAAATTCAAATGAAAACAATTTAGTAAGTAATTTGTTTCAATAAAAAGAATTACTACATCGATGTCGTGTATTACTGCAACAATTCTCGCACAATTATATTCTTTAGATAGTCATACCCAAATTGAAAAAATTCAAATTGGATCATAAACCCTTTTGTGCTAAGAAGTAACTAAAAAGCTTTGATACATAGATTTCTTCTACTAATTTGTCAATACGTTTCTATAAGCCTATGTCTTAAAGCATTTCACATCGATATATATATATATACTCATAAATTCATCAAGAATCAAATGTCCAGTTGATAATATATTTGAGTCTGTCAATTATTGATGCAGATAAGTCCTAGTTTTTTTATTAGGTGATGCTTGATGTTCATTTCGATTATAATCAATTCTGAAGTCAGCTGTTCAGTTCCAAAAATGTTCTGGTGTCCTTATGCAAGACATCTGATAGTCATATGAATATCTCAAAACGTACGTTGATTACATTTGAGAATCGTTATTTGTAAACAACTGTCGAATGACGTTTGACAGCCGGTAAATGCAATAATGATCAAATATGATAAGAAAAACCGTAGAAATGTCTGTTTTTTCAAGTGTTCAACAGTGTGTCACTGAATAAATTGGAGTAATCTAATGAGTTCAAGTTGTTTGAACTGATTTGTTAACAAGACGGGGTAGCTGGTGCTCGGGTTTTTTCCATATGTACCCCATATACAAGGATATCGACAACATGGTCTTGATCAACATATTTGAACTAAAAGAACACCTTTGCTGATCAGCTGGCTATGAGTGCAGAATACAAGATCAAGTGTTGTAGTTTGATAGTAGCTAATGTACAAGCAGTTCTACTTATTTGTAAATAGAATTTTCCAATTCTATGGCTACGCCTATTCAACAAATTGTCCATTCTCATATTACAAACGATTCATATATTGGTGACCAGTTTTGTTGAAAGAATAAACAGGCGGTTTCCGTGATCAATACTCTTACAGATTCTGTTGCAATATTTATAAGGCTTTACACTATTGAGAGTTGTTTTTTCATTTTGCTTCATCAAGTACACGGCTGCTTGTATTTTCTAAACATATTCATTAGGCAAAGGAAAAACAACATTATAGAAATATGCAACATTTTATCTAAATTTGACTTTAAAGATATCAATTTTATTTTAGAAGACACTGAGATACACACAGTCGACACTGAACAACTCGGTTAACTGCACATTTCAAAATAATGGGCGTGTTTGTTGTCTACAACCATACTGAGAATAGTATTTTCCCACATTATGATAACACTGTTCAAGAGTTGCTGGCATTCCTCTGAAACATCGTTGAGTTTCACATTCCAAAAAAAACTGATTAACTAAGCAAAGTGTAACATCAATATTGGTCATAAGCGGAGATGGATTGTGACAAGTATTTAGAATGCAGAAAGCGCGATTTGACTTATTTATCGACTATTCATTTAGACGAATTTTCATCCCACAATGTATGTTAACCAATATTGTACAGTTCACTTTGCACACACGGTGATGTTATTGACGGTGCTGCAATGAATATATACAAATTGAAGGTACTTTACAGTAATTCTGTCCTCTGTCAATTTGATTTATTCTAATAGCACGTAAAATGAGCAATAAATAGTCAATTTACGTGCACTTTAGTAGTGTTAGATCCGACAGGAATAGCGAATCGTTTTCACCGTTTAGTGCTCTAAGTTACCGTGACGGTTCCTTTTGTTATGGATGATTTTAAGCAAAAATTTTCCATCAAACCAACGAAGGTTTACTTAAATTCAGCGGAAAAGAAACTCCAAACGGTTTCGTTTCTTCAGTTGTTGTCGACAACAAGATGTCCGAGGGATTTTCTTCAAATATTGTTAAGCTTTACTTGTAAGTAAAATAATCTCGCAGGCGTCTTCCAAATATTGTTTTGAACTGAAGAAAATACTTTTTACTCTCGCAGTGATCTCTGAAACCGAGAGATGTAGATTTACACGAGTCCCGACCAGTCTAAGTTCAATATGATAAATCATGGAAAGAAACGTTTTATTTTTATTCGAAAAAAGCAATTCAAACAATAACCAAAACAATATTACACCTTCAAATTTCTAATCGCAACAATACGTTCCGATACTGGAAGAATAAGCGATTCAAGAGGGTGAATGTCATATGAATTCCTCATTCCGGTTTGTAGATATAATTCAGTCTGAAGACTGTAAACGTGAAAAAAAGTGTGGTATGTAAACCAATGTAATATACACGAATCGCTTGTGGCTGTTGACGATAAGACTTTAACATTTTCGACCTCATTCATGAGTTGTTTGATTTGTGTAATACTTATTTTATATAAGTTTCCAAATATTGAAACCAAACGTTTTTACGCAAGTGGCGTCTATGAGGTCGGCTAATCTATCCACTCCTCTTATTTGAGTCACTGGCCATTTTGGTTAACCGTTCAACTTCACAACGAGATAAATTTGACTATGCATGCGCATCTACTCCGGATGAAGCAGCAGAAACTATATGTGATGCTCTTCCTAAACACGACGAAGGAAAGTCGCACATCTAATTATAAACAGCTGTAAGCATCTGGCCTTAAACAGACTGCTCAGTTTAGTGGATAGAACTTCATCACAGCTGAGAATGTACAAGTGGAGCATGAAAAGTGATAAGAAAATAATAATAGTTTACTGATTGTAGTTATGAGGACTCGCTCGATATATTAAAAAGATCCTTGAAATTAGAGATACAGATGTGGACAGATATCACATGGCGGATATAATAGTTACAATCTATAAAAATGAGATATTGCCTTTTTATGGAGGTGCTTCTTTCTACAGTTAATTAAGAAGTCGAATAGCTGAAAATAAACATGAGCAATTTAATAAAAACTGTACGGGCTGAAGCTGATTACGAGACCGAAAAGAGGATCACACAACAGTTATCAAACAAGCTCAGGGAGACGAGTAGTGCTGTTGATCTGTTGGTATTATCAGACAGGATTTTACCTTTTCTCCTCAAGTGTGGCTCGTCTGATACACCACAAATTCAGCTAAATAATCCTTCTCCTCTTAACTTTGACACATTCTGTATCTTTATCTGGCAAGCAGTATGTATCACGATAATTAAAATATCTCATATACCATACCACTCCAGTATCATGTAGCAAGTTTGAATTTACCAATTATCTGAATGATAATAATTTGCAGCTTCTTATTACCCTTCGGAACTACAAATACCTAAGAATAACGATGCCCTAGGTAAATTCAATCAATTTAAATGGAACGACCTACGAACGATAGGTCATGCAGCAAACATGCGCGTTAGTCGTGATTGAAACTAAAGAAACATACACTATTGAAATATTCATTTTTCCGGATAAAAAATGTGTCTAATTAGTTGAAAAAGGTATTCACTTCCCACACTGATTTTTTCGCGATTCATATTCCGAAAAACTGGGAGTAATGAAAATGCGTTAAGAAAAAATACTGAGGTAAGATTTGTTTAAAGAAAACCGATAAATCAATGGAAACGATAGTACACACATCTTCCAAATATTAACAGGATGTCTTTTTTTCATGATTTATGAGTTACCAAATAAGGCTTGAAATCGCTGTTACATTTGTGAAACATGTACTTGTTCAATAATTTTTGAAGCGGTACACTTTCAGTAATGCAACATGACAATGAACAATCTACTATTTATCAGACTGATGATGCACGAAAAAGCTGGCTTTCGAAATCTATTTATTCTTCCTAGCATATCCATGTAATGGTATATGTGTAAGTATACTCGTTGAACAAGCAATCTTTATACCTAACTCTCGCGTTTTTACTTAGGATATAAGTTTTATGAATAATGGCTTTACACAATCATCATATAAATATGGACATCGTAAATCATAGGGATAAAAAAGAATCGTTGATATACTAATTATTACTTGACATGTATAATAACATGACATTACGTTTGTTTGTTCTTTGTCAATTCAAAAAAATGGTAAGTCGAGGAGGAAATATTCTTTCATGTTCAATCAGTAATGCTAATAAGTACAATAATAATATGAATACAGCGGTTATAAACCAGTTTCTTCAAAAGGAAACCAGTTAATTGAACAGTTCCGAACACATTCATATGAACAGTTTCCTGAACATATAGATGTCCAATTCTGAAAACATATTGATGAACCCAGCATTATCGACTGATAGTATACCAAATAAAACACAGTGTACAAAAATATTGATGCCGATGCATAAAATGGATAAAAGAGACGATATCGTGATTTACCAATTGTCAAGTGACTTAAAAATATTGTTATCTGTGAAATAAATGAAACACACATATTAGTGTGAACAGAAAAGGTAACTATGTATAAGTAAACATGCGTATCAAGACTTATTTTCAAATCAAATAAAGTAAATAGTGAAGTTCTTGAGAAAAAGAAATGATTCTTTGTGCCATATTCAAACGATGGTCTTGTTTTTCGCTTTGTAGATAGGCTGGAATAAACAAAGGTAAATCAAATATTTGAGCTAAATACTGTGAATTCAAATCACATTGTTCGGCTCTCGTCTGACATTTAAAACCTGCAACATTTGAAAAGTGTTTTAAAGATCTGAGTGTATTTACTTGTTGAAAAGTGTTGAAAGTCGGTTGAAACAATCAAGCTTGAGTATATCAGGAACAAGTTATAAATGATTTAGAGGGTCTGAGTGGACTATTGCAGATACGCAACTTAAGAAGTAGAATATCCTACAACAGTGATGATAACAAGTGTCTTTGTTCTTAAGGTTAAAGTGGTTCTTACTCTATTCAACATGATTTATACAACTATGTGTATCAAATGAAATGATGAAAAATTCAACTTACAATATATAAAATTATCTCTGCAACAATATCAAGACCGATTAACGCCTCCTGAAAATCAATAAAAACGATTAGGTGAACTTTGATTTGTGAAATCTACTTTGCACACTTTTTGTTGCAAATCAATTATGTCAGCTCAGAATTGTAGGAAAAAGAAATTTTGATAAACAGTTTATTCTGTCTAATCTTCGTTATCAGTGAATGTGGTCAGTCTGTTATTCTTGAAATTGGTGAAAATAGTAACGAGCTAACAAAAACATGTTCTTCTTGTCTTCGATTTGCTGAATGCACTACGTATAAATGATTGTAATTAACTTGAATGCCCAAATCATCTGAAAAACTTGTCGTCAGGATAGTGAATCATGTCCACATCTTTCAGCTTCACATGTCTCCTGAGATGCCTCGTAACCATTACTCTGTGATCAGTCTTCTATCAAAAGGTGAATAGTCTCAAATTGATACAGTAGAAATACTAAACATCCTATGATCCTGTGCTATACTGATGATGATTAAACACACTTTGATCTCACAATACGGTTTTGAACATGATATACTGTCGTGTTATAGTGGTGGAGGTGCCTCACAACATCAGGAAGATCATCTGTCATTTGAGGAGCATGAGACAAAATTTATTGTGAAACATCAAAATACTGGGAAGTGCATATATGTGCTTCTTTTATTATTGGTTGATAGGTTTGATGCTTTTTCACTGGTTAAATATTGTTAACCACATAAGACAGCTATTTTTATGTAATTTCTTTTTCAAGGATCAGAAATTATTTTGTTTAAGAGTTCACTAAGCCTGCAAACTTGGGTGGTGGATTATGTCCACGTATACCAACGTCAGAAGTCAGTTGAGAACAAGCTTATACTACAGACTGGAAATAACGTGACGTTGATCATCACGCAACTTTTACAGAACGTCTGCATGTAGTCTACTTTTAAATACTTCTCTCCCCCAACATTCAAAAAACAAAATCGTTTCAGAATTCTAAGTTTCGTGAACGTTCACCAATGGACATCAATACGAATTTTATGATTCAGAGAACTTATTGCACAAACAAATGACGTTTTGCATTTTAGCATGTAACGAATAAATGCTATATGTTTTATGATCGAAATGTTGTATTGGGAAAATGTTTTTATTGATGTCGTTACCTTTTGAACCACAGCGTCTATTACGACCGAAATAGTCACAATAACAGCCCATATGGCCCCGAATGATAACACGATTTTTCTTGATTTATCTACTGAACCTGTCTTGATTGCTGCACCAATCAGCAACGCAGACGTGAAGATTACCAAACTGATAACGAAGATGACAAAAGTAGTTAAAGGACTTAATACTGTATTTGAAACGCCAAGTAATATTGCCAAACATGTGGACTAAAATATGGAATGAATGTGAAAGTTTGAACTGAATTTTTCATCAATAATTGGTTGTGTAAAAATATGCACGCTGAATACAATTTGTAAGTCATTCACAGCAGATAAGTGACCATTTCGTTTCCTATGCGGACAACTCCTAATCTATTAGGCGCGTTTTCTCTGAAAACACTGTTCATTTTGGCGCCGAATTTGAAAGACTGACAAAATGATGATTGTTTCCAACACTACTCTCCATTACTTTCGATCTCCAAACAAATGTAATTCAAATAGGTGATTTACTCTCAATGTACTGGGACAGGCGTATTTTCGAAATGTAAAGTAAATAAGAACCAAGTTAAACGAAACGATAAGCAGATAGGGAAGATAATTTTAAAATAATATTTTTGATAGTGCAGTTTGCAGTCCCATCATCGATGACTTTCAGACAAGTTGCTGTTGTATACACAATTCTTACTACATGCTACAGCTTCTTCCACTTCAGCAAGAATAAGAATTATGACGTATCGAAATTTCCTTGAGTCCTACGAGTTTTGTTTGTGAATCAATATGTGGATATTCAAATCTCTGATCTATATGGAGATACATAATTCGAACGAAAGCTTTTGCTAGATTTCCTCTGATTCTATTTCATGATGTTTAACCACAACAATCCATCAACGCAATACATGACAAATCATGTTCTTCTTCCGTAAACCAGATGCTGAAAGTTGAATGAGGGCAGTAATAAACAAGATTGCTTCTCTAACTAAATCAAGCCGATTTAGAAATGTTGATTCGAAGAACATATCATTGTTTTGTTTTCAGGTAACTAACGTTACCTGAGATCAATCACTGTTCCTTGAAGATTGTGCCATTGTACAAGCCATGTCTGATCCTTTCTGTTTGCATATCCATCTAGGTAGAACATGTTTTTCAGTCCTGCTATAGGTCAAAAATTAAGTGTAACAAACATTTTCGATGTCTGAAGTAGAGAGTTACATAGGTTGTATAGTAATCCACACGGCATGAAAAGTAGTCAAATGGTGTAGATTATTCAACACTTGTCGTGATTCTTACGTATACGATCACGAAAGCAACGTTCAGAGCATAGTTTTCAGTGAACTTCTTCAAAACTGCAATCACTATTACTATCGCTACCGCGATCAACCTACAAGACAAAATACAGATCAGTTAACAGTGGTATATATACGGAAAAACATATATTTCTGATGAAATTTGATTCGGCTAACGATGATGAACTTGGGAATGACATTGTGTTCATTTACAAGAACATTGATAAACCCTCACTGTTGTCGGTCTCAAAAGTATCTCGAAATTTAGTTGATCCTCTTTAAGACAAACAAATAAAAAATCTGGAAATGACGCAGTGTATAATTAGCATATATTTGAATTAAAAGTTTTATTATGACGTATTGTAGATAGTCTGAAATTTCGATGGTGTGAAATAGCAAAACACTGATGCATTTTATATAATTGCACGACTGCAAATCGCAGAAAGCCCAATATGATTATGAAGTAATATCGGAATAATGACATAATATTCTTTACATATTTTACTAGATATTTACTGACCTTCTAAGTTTGAAACGAAAAGATCGCGTTTGAAAGGAAAATGAAATCCTAATTATAGCAGCAATTTATACAGCCATATATTCTACAGATTTCGCGACGGTTTGTGTTCGAAATAATTGTTTCATTAAACTATTACAAAGAATGTTACTTAACCATACCTTCCTTCTGCTCACTTACTAAATAAGTATCAGATTATTATTATTTTAGTCTCATGATGTCCAATCACACATTGCAGCACGAAAATATTTATTAATGACGATCAATCTTATTATTAGACTTTTAAGCAACATTCGCAGTCAACCATAACTCTGTGTTCATCAAATCAATAAATAATCAATCCATATATGTTATCATGACTATGCTGTATCACATGAAACTATAAACACTACACAAGTTATTATTACAGTCTACTATATATCGAGTTGAAATTCTTATTTCATTCATTTAATTATCAGAAGAGAAGAAATGCGTATAGGCTGAAGAAAACTTACACGAATAAAGCAGGAATCAATAACTGTTCAGCGATATGTAACACTTGTCCCGCTAAGCTGGAAGAATACCATAATTAAATAATGAGTAATTTACGATTGAGAAAAGATGATTGAAACGATCAATGTGATGGCTATTTGTAGTGTTGTGAAAATGAGAACCTGTAAAAAACGGACACCCATAAATCAAAACAACAGAGTACTTTGCTTGTGTATGAGGATACAACCAGTAGACGATCAGGTTTCGGTAACTTATTCACTGTAGATTTTGAGCTGTACGTCCTTGGAATATTCGTAGTGGCAGTAGAAATTTTCGTCACACTTGACCTGTCAAAAACAAAAGTCTCGCATATTTATTTCAATATTTCAGTGAAATGTTATGAGGTTAATATAATTTGACTTGTCGGAAATGTGAACATTATTAGTATACTGTCCCTTGATGTTGATATTATTGTATATCCTGCAACAGTGTGAGATGCTTTGCTGCAGACATAAACGAATATGGATGATTCAGTCAGAGTTAAACGTGCTCAACTTGCAACTATGTCTGTCACTGTAGTAATAGTAATAATACATGTTCATTTATTTATACTTGTCGTCTAGAGAAGATGATTGACTTTGTGTTTAGCATCCCTGCTACTTAGACCCGCTTCCTAGTTCTACATACTCGCTTTTGATTTTTGTCCACTCTGTCTCGTTTTTTCGGCGTAATATGTCTTTCGATATTCTTCATTGCATTCGACAATGATGGTATCTGGCAGGCGGATCTGAGGTATTCCGCGTCGCAACAGTAGATAAACACTTTTAGTTTCCGTTCGAGGGTTTTAAGGTTTCTATTCCATGCAGTAGAACGGTGATGACATATGTTTTAGCGCTGATTGATGACTTTTCATAGGAGCCGATTTTGTAAAACCGTAGAAATCCGGTACTCGCTATTCTGATCTGCACCTTTACATCTTCATCCGATTCACCCTCAATCAGATTTTTCATTGTATCAAGAGCTTCGCCAAACATTTTGAAGTATTCACAACATAGTCGATCATCAATGTAAAATTCCTCTGACACAAATTCTTGATTGTAAATAGTCTGCGAGATGTTCCACGTGCGCTGTTTTACAGCTTGATCCAACGATAAAGTAATAGTGAAAAAAGTGGAATCATGAATCCACTCTATGTTGGTCCACTTCCAGTTTATTCCTTCCTTTTTTTCATGAAAATTGTCGTCCTGAACAATTTGCACAACATTCAGAAATCACCAAGTGCGATGGCAGTAATGACAACAAATAACCTTTTTTTGATTAATCTCACCTGATCATTCTTTTCATAACTACTCTTCTCACAAAATCTCATTTATATAACATTGACCTATGCACTTCGATTTGAGCAAAATAAAGTGACAGAAAAACACATAATGTACAAAAGTTATTTTAGTTGTGTTTAAGAAAATTTTGAATATACAGTAATCAAGTGCATTTATTTGACAAAATAAAACATACTTCAAAACATAAAAAAGTCTGTGAAATAATCACAAATTTCTGCGGCGATTTCAGCATCACGTTGTAAAGGAGCAGATCAAAGTTTATTTATTTGTTCGTTCAAACATCCACTTTAGTCAATATTCACTTTATCGACATACCGCTGCTGGACTTTGTTCTTCAACCAAAAATTTGTGAATCTTGAGATCAAGAAATACTGTATAAACCTAGTCCTTTTTCCCTGTATGAACTGACCATGAAGTCATGTGTTGATATTTCACCTCATGCGTTTGTTTCTTTCCTCAATTTTCAGTGTGTTCGTTATTAACTTAAGACTTTATTTGCTTTCTAATTTGGAAAAATGCTCAAATTATTGGAAACCCTATTGATTCACAAAAATGGATAATATATAATCTCAATATTTTAAGATTGTCAGTTCGACAGTCAGCCAAATGCAGCAGTGAACTTCATAGATGGTACATCATTTCTAGCTCTCATGAAAAATTAGAACATAGAGTGTTCGATGTGTCAAGTCAAATCCCGTAGTATCGGTGATAGAAAAAAGTTAATGTAAAAGATAAAGGTTTAATGATAGTATTCAAAATGAACTCTATCTGAGACCAGAATTATAGAGCTTATATTGATTTCAGAAGATAAGAATTCGATAAAAAAAGAATATTGCATGCCTCAAAGTCATTTCGAGCCCTGATTTTCGAGGTCTACAGCCAACACTTGCTTTCTTCACGCAAACGTAAAACATCAAAGGCTTCACGTACTCACGTGCCCTAGTCCAGGAGTGATTGACATAATGGATATTGGAAATTTCAAAAAAAAGAATGGCTTCTCTCAAAATGTATTCCGGTTAATCGTTGCTACAATTAGTGACGAAATAGGTAATAGTGTTACTCTTCGAAGCGCTGAATTTGAATCCAAATGAATGATCGAAATATTTCGACATTCTATTTGCCGTGAAAATATTTTCTCAGTTATCAATCGGTCATGATATCGTTCAAACTACTACTAACACGGCCTACCAAAAATTATGATAGTTCTGAAGAGTTTGTAGAAAAATCGACGATGTTTCTTTAGACTATGCAATAAATAAGCATTCTCGCAGGCGAAAATGACACTGACTATTTGTTATGATGAAGCACAACTGAGTCAGTAGACTACCCTTAATTTCTAACTCACTTATGGTTTGAGTGTGGTATCCATCTTCAACGCTTTATTTGTGAAAATTACTAAGCTGTCATATGTCCTTATTGATTCCATCATTTCTACATTTGCTTAATCTAAAGGAAAACATTTTTGAAATGAAAAAACTTGTATTTTATATTTCTACTGCATATACTGATTTCACATGCTTATGTTGTGAACTGCATTTCGTTGTTCAAGCTGGTACATATTTATGAGGACCGCCATATTGAATTGTTGATTTGAGTGTTTTTAATGTAAAATAAAGCACTTTTCCAAAATTAAAAACAATTTGTGTCATACAGCAACCAAATATTATCTGTCCATCTTATCTGTTCCGTCCTGGACAGATCGAATATTATATTACATTTTTAGTTTTTGTATAAGTTACATTGTTAATATTGTTTGAGTAATGATGTATATATATAATTATGATAAATATTAAAACGTGCGGTCACTGAAATTCAGTTAAGGCCTGGTTTTCGTCCTCGATGATATCTACTTCATCCTACAGTGGTACTTACTTCAAATGAACCAAATGCCGCCCAGCAGTTTTTGCCAACCAACTCTGTCATGGGCTTCTCTTTCCAGTTCTGTCCAATGTTTGTTCGTCTCACTCATATCTTTCTCTTATTCTCGGCCTAATGTATTCTTTGACCTTCCTCTTTCCCTTCCGCCTTCAGGGTTTGTCTTGTGATGCAGTTAGGTGCTTTTCGTAGTGTGTGTCCTATCCACTTCCACCGCTTCTTCCTGATTTCCTCATTCACTAGGATCTAGTTTGTTCTCTCCCACAGTACGTTGTTGCTGATGGTGTCTGGCAAACGAATACGAAGTATTTTGCGCACAAAACTGTAAGTAAACACTTGTATCTTCTGGATGATGGGTTTCGTATTTGTCCAGGTTTTCGCCACATAAGGCAGAACTGTCTTGACATTTGTATTGCAAATCCTGATTCTGGTTTCGGTTGAAAGTTTTTTGGAGTTCCAGATATTTTTCGACTGTAGAAAGGCAGCCTTCGCTTTGTCAGTCCGCACCCTCACGTCAGCATCTGATTCACCTTGATTGTCGATGATGCTGCCCAGATATGTAAAGGTGTTAACGTCCTTCAAGGCATCTCCATCAAGAGATATATGTATGTCGGCACCTACTGCTGCGGAGGCTGCTGCTACACTGGTCGTCTTGTCTTGGATTTGTTGTTGCGTGGGCGATGGAAGAACCAGGTCATCTGTCAAGTTCAGATCGTCCAGCTGCGCCCTAAATGTCCAGTTGATACCGTGCTTCCCTACAGATGTCGACGTGTTTAGAATCCAGTCGATCACCAGGAGAAAGAGAAAGGGTGGGAGTAAGCAACCTAGAAAGAAGATTGATACCTCTGTAGTTCTCACGCTTGCTTAGATCGCCCTTCCTTGGTATCTTGATCAGGTTCCTATTTTCAATCTGTTGGTACTTGTTCCTCATCCCAAATCTTCTTGAAGAGGATGTGAAATATTTTGACAGTTGCTTCTGCATTTGATTTCATTGACTCTACAGATGTCGCGTCTTCAGAATCCAGTCGATCACTAGGAGAAAGAGAAAGAGTAGGAGTAAGCAACCTTGCCTGGCACCAGTCTACACCTCAAAAGAGTCTGGTAGCCGTTCTAAGTGTACGATTTCACAGTTGAATCCATATGATGTTAATTATTTTCTCAGGCACAACGTATTGTCAAAGTAGACTCCATGGTTTTTCCTATGCACTTTTTTGAATGCTTTTTCGTAGTCGATGAAGTAACTGTAGAGTGATGAGTTCCATTCTATTAATTGTTTCACAATGATCCGTAATGTAGCAATTCGGTCAGTACACGATCGATCCTCACGAAGTCCGGCCTGTTGATCTTGAAGTTGGAGGTATACTAAGTCCTTCATTCTGTTTAACTATACCATGTTGAAGATTTTGCCTGACATTGAAAGAAGAGTGATGCCTGTGTAGTTCTCACGCTTTCTGAGATTGCATTTCTTTGGTATCTTGATCAGGTTCCTGATTTTCAATCTGATGGTACTTGTTGCTCATCCCAAATCTTCATGATGAGGATGCGAAATATTTTGGCAGTTGCTTCTACATTTGCTTTCATTGACTCTGCAGGGATGTTTTCTGATCCTGCTGCTGCGGTTTACGTAGATATTATTCAGCCGAATACCTAATTTACCGTGATCTTATGTTTGTACTGTGTGCCAATCAGATATTCAATTCGGTGGTCATATGAACTGACACATAAATAACTTTGTATTATTGTGGTACAAACTTCAAGGAAATGGAATCGCAAGACGGTTAATAAAACTCGATGTCACGCCCACCATGAAGCATATCAGATTATTAAACAAATATTTGTTTGTTTTTTTTATTCATGTTCATGATTCTAAACTGGACTTTTGATGAATAACTGCGCACGTAAATGTGTTTGATACAGGTTATCTGTCATGAAGATGAAATAATCTAATTTTTCACTAGAAAATTTCTTTTAGGTTAGAAGTGTTAACAAAGACCAATGTGTCTGTCATTTGTATTGTAATGAGTTTAAAGAACAGCCTACGTTTTGAACAACTGAGTATTTTGTTGGTTTATGATGATACTACGAGAAGAGTTTCAGATTAGTTTGACTCATTCATTTTACATCTTGTGGTATAAGTCTATAGGATATAAATGAATTTTCTATCATAGCAGTTCACTCCATTTCGAATAGGTGCAGGCTGGTACGCGCTGTCCCAGATCCGTAATAAAAAACAATTATTCTGGGAGAAAACGGTCTTTATTTAACATAAAACGGAAATACAGACAAGTACCCAACAATATTACACCTTCTAAAGCCAATTTATCGCGGTCGGTATCCGTTTCTGGAAGAATAAGTGCTTTCAGTACCTACTGCCAACGTATCCAATCCAAATATGGCTGTAGCCATATTAATTATCAAATTTAAACAACATAGGTACAGTTCAGAAGCAAAAATAAAAAAAACTTCAATATAAGTACAATGTTTAGAAATAACAACCATATACAATGATAATATCTCAAAATGGAATCAAATATAGTATCAAAGTGTCAACAGAAAGAGTCAGTCATATCATAGCACAAATAAATATACATGTAGGGATTTTCCAAAAAACAAAACATTCAAAGAAGTTTCTACATTGGATAGTCGGAATAAAACTCAAATCTCATGTCTATTATACGTTACATGTCAATAATAATAGTATCGCACATTTTAATAAATTTTGCAGTGAAATAATATGCAGGCCACATAACTTAACATTTTAGGAAAGATGAACAGGATTGTTGTACTCTCCATGATCTGTTCGACGCATGTTGTGTCTTACTGAAGTAATCATCTTTAAGCCTTCTGTATGCTTAGTCCTAGTTTGCTGACAAGGCTGCCACGATAGTTGTCCCCTCCTGCATTTCTAAATGCGTGTGAGATAGAACATTTAGAACATCCGCAAATTTAAACCGTACAACTATATAAGTGTCAGATGACTTACATATATTGTTTCTTTCTACAAAAAGACACACAAGAGTTTGAACTTCATATAGAAACCTTAACTGTGTAAAAGTAAACAAGAGCTTCAAACATGATTGTTTATAATCAGAGGTTTGGGGTGGAAATGGGAATATCAGTTACATCCTT